TCTACTTATTGATACACAAATAAATTATTTATTGTAATGACACTACATAATTCCTGGACATAGTCCGTTTTTCTTTAGTTAGGGCGTAAATCTATTTTTTTGATGCGTTATCATTTCAGAGCATGTTATAGGGTAGACTATAGAAAATAACATTCGTAAACCCGTGCGAGAGAGAGAGAGAGAGAGAGAGAGAGAGAAGAGAGAGAGAGAGAGAGAGAGAGAGAGAGAGAGAGAGAGGAGAGAGAGTGAGAGAGAGTGAGTGAGTGAGTGAGTGAAGTGAGTGATGTGTGTGTGTGTGTGTGTGTGTGTGTGTGTGTGTGTGTGTGTGTGTGTGTGTGTGTGTGTGTACTGCCTCTAGTAACTCTTTTCACTGTACTGCCTCCAGTAAAACACTAGCAGTCAGTTAAACCTTTATTGCCATGTTCACAAGCAGGTAGGTATGAGCAGTGTATCCAACTTGCAAGATGACAACATAACGTGCACGTGATGTGAGGTGAAAAGCTGTAAGAAAATAAATCTTCACAGTTTTGGAAATAAAAAGTTGTACACAAATAAAGTAAATGAATCATACAAATATCAAATAATATTAATACAATATGAGATAGAAATATTAAGAACAAATCAATAGAAAATTATAAAAATACTGCGACTAGCATACAAGTAAACATTAAACAAACAAATGACTTCTTATTCCTTATACTATTTTATGACATTTCCTGAGTTAATTAAGGCACTTTATAAAAGATCAATAACTAAAGACTAGATACTTTGATTAAATGAAAAAGAAACAAAACATTATTCTTTGGTAAATAACTGAAATAAAGCTTGGTAAAAATATAAGAGTACAATAGGAATGGCACTTACTTATATCACATAATTTCAAGTTATATATCACGTAAAAGACACAACTTTGTTATTAACATATGCTCTAACATCTGAACAATACATTATTAACAGTGTAAATAGTTGACTTACAGTGTGGCTAGCCCAAATCTTCATAAAACAAGAATAATTTAAAAGTACGCAGCACAAGGCGTCTCACGCGGCTCCGCGGATTCACAACAATGCGTTTTTGTAGGGCGTTCGTACAACTCTAACGTCACTGTAGCCAACGTTACAAACTAAATGAAATTAAATAATCATTCTCATGTTAATACATTAAATCAAATAAATTCTTGATCTAAATTCTATATATATAATATCAGACAAGGAATCCTTGATTCCTTTACAGAGAGAGAGAGAGAGAGAGAGAAGAGAGAGAGAGAGAGAGAGAGAGAGAGAGAGAGAGAGAGAGAGAGAAGAGAGAGAGAGAGAGAGAGAGAGAGAAGAGAGAGAGAGAGAGAGAGAGAGAGAGAGAGAGAGAAGAAGAGAGAGAGGAGAGAGAGAGAGAGAGAGAGAGAGAGAGAGAGAGAGAGAGAGAGAGAGAAGAGAGAGAGGTGAAGACAGAGAGAGAGAGAGAGAGAGAGAGAGAGAGAGAGAGAGAGAGAGAGAGAGAGAGAGAGAGAGAGAGAGAGAGAGAGAGAGTGAGTGAGTGAGTGAGTGAGTGAGTGAGAGAGTGAGTGAGTGAGTGAGTGTGAGTTTGATTTTATATGTGCGTGTGCGTGCGTGCGTGGGGTATTTCTGAATGTTTTTTTATGATATTCAAAACGATGTACAGCAAAAGACGGACGTTCTAATATCAAATAAAATGAAAACCTGTACAAACGGACAACAAGAGCCATTCATTTGTCAAGAGTCACGTTCATCTCTTTATGCTTGAACACGAAGACGCTGAACCCTATCTCATGTTGCTGGGAGGAGACGAGAGAGTTCCTTCCCTTGCATCATATGGGGAAATTCCAATGCTTCTTATAACCTTAATTAGAAAAAAGACTCACGCAAATGTTTTGAAAAAAAAAATAAATAAAAGAAAGATGGTACACGGCAATTCCAATGCTTCTTAAAACCTTAAATATAATTAGAAAAAAGAATCACGCAAATGTTTTGTAAAAAAATCAAGAAAGATTGTACACGGCAATGGCCATACGCTACTGCCTGTCACTAAAGATAAAATAAGATAAATAAAACTCGGGGAAATTCCAATGCTTCTTAAAACCTCAAATAATTAGATAAAAGAATCGCAAATGTTTTGAAAAAATCAAGAAAGATGGTACACGGCAATTCCAATACTTCTTAAAATCTTAATTAGAAAAAAGAATCACGAAAATGTTTTGAAAAAAAGTTAAGAAAGATGGTACACGGCAATGGTCATACGCTACTACCTGTCAGTAAAGATAAAATAAGGTAAATAAAACTCGGGGAAATTCCAATGCTTCTTAAAACCTTAAATATAATTAGAAAAAAGAATAACGCAAATGTTTTGGAAAAAATCAAGAAAGATGGTACACGGCAATGGCCATACGCTACTACCTGCCACTAAAGATAAAATAAATAAAAAAACTCGGGAAATTCCAATGCTTCTTAAAACCTTAATTAGAAAAAAGAATCACGCAAATATTTTGAAAAAGTTAAGAAAGATGGTACATGGTAATGGCCATACGCTACTACCTGCCACTAAAATTGAAATAAGATAAATAAAACTCTTTAAACAAAAGATATATAGAAATATATGATTATGAGAAAAAACTTCCTGTTTACATGTCTTCAAATACTAAGTACATAAACCATGTCGGAATTATCTCTATATATCAAATTTCCATTATAAGTTTTCAATAAAAATAAAACACTTTATTCTATATCTATCGACAAAAAGAGAAAATTAATGAAGATCTATAAAAGAAGATATTCAACGTACATTTGAAACAGAAAATGGTCTATTTTTTCGGAACACACTGCACTTGACAATCATGAATTTAATTATGGACTTAATTACGATTAAACAGGAGAAATAAAATCACATACAGACTGAAGACTTCCCGTATTTGAGGAGGATGATTGTAACTTTCCACAGCTGAGAATTTGGTTCATTTTCTAATCTCTGGACATGTCTCAACTCCTTTGATGGTTTTGTGGATTTGGTTTCATTCAGATATTCATGAGTAGTATTTCAGCTTTCGAGAATGTTGTTTCGCTGCCATTCGTTGCATGATGCAACATTCAGGTACTGCTACTAATGAACCAGGGAGAATATGCAACAAAATGAAAATGAATCAAGAACTAGCTCAGTCAAAATGAATAACAAAAAGTACTTCGTTGGAGTATGAACATACTCCAAGCATCATTTCTCAAAATACCTAAACATTTCTTTTCTCTATTGTAAAAGACAAGCGAAAATGACTCGGCCCTTTGCAACAAATCATGAGCTTAATACTTTCCGCAACACGAAGGGTGAATTCATCAGGGTCCTCGCCAGGTCATCATCGAGTGCGAGATTTCGAAAGGAGAAGCGAAGTGCTGCAAGGATGACGCCAGGGTGTCAGTCACGACCCCACCTTGGGCCGGACCGCGCACCTCCTGACGTCCTTCTCCTTGTGGTAGAGATAGATACCACTGGTACTATCCTAGCTGACTTCCTTCTGTGTGATAACGTAATTCGGAAAAGAGTTACATATATCTCCAAGTCTTTTACGTTACCTTTGTGACGAATCTGCGTTGGAAATGTCGTTAGAAGAAGACAGCTTCTAATTATATTATAGATTATCGTTACAAAATCTAAATGTTGTGAGGACAGTATAACCATTTTCTCGTGAGTGGAAAGATAGACGACACTTGACATTGCTTCAGAATTACGGTGTTTAACTGTGAAAAGGAAACGTGAAATACAACAAAATGGGTTTATCCAAAGCGACGTTTATAGACGAACACAAAAACGTCGGAATAGTTAACGTGTCTTATAAAAGCGACGAAGACGAATTCACGAAAGCGGAAACAGAAATTGAAGACAATAAGAAAAAGGAACACGTAAATGGGGGAGTAATAGACGAAGAAATTAAAACAGAGAATGGGAACGTTAGAGAAGGAAAGAGAGAGGAGGAGAAAGAAGAAGAAGACGAAGAAGCGGTTCCCGACGGCGGCTGGGGCTGGGTCGTCACCTTCGGCTGTATCATCATTGCGGTAATTTTTTTCGATTATATAACTGATCTTATTCAATCTTTTATAAAAGTGTCTCTCTAAATAACAACTAAATCATTTTTTGATTATATAACATGTTTTTTCAGTCTAATATTTCTTTTATTGCCTCACTACATAACTAATGCTGTTTAAATCAAATATTGCACTGAATTATAATCTTACTTTAAGACTAAGGACTTTTAATCACATACTACCCTTCCACAAGTGATTATGTTGTGTGTAATGATGTGTCATTCATTTCAAAGCTGATCAGTTGAATGAGTCTAAAGAAACAGTCACACTATCTCCTCTTTATCCTGTTACTTTATATTTATTTATACTTTAGCCAAAAGTACCTCCTCGAGCTCTTCCTCGGTTTCCTTCTCGGGCTCCTCGGCGACTTCCTTCTCGGTGTGCTAATAATGTGATGGATTGCACGTACGTAACAATGCATGGTGAACAATACGCGATGCAACTATTTGTGCGTTTAATAATGCCTTATATAATATTTTTGCAGTCTATGGAAGTCTTTGATTTGATCGAGTATGTTCAAACCATTTTTTGTAGAAATAAGTAGATGAACGAATGAATGAATTAACAGAAGTATAAACAAACTCTTGATGAATATATAATTTCTGAATAATACCCAGATGGTTTAGATTGATGATTGAGAAAAAATGCTGAGCAAAGATGACGAATGAAAAGAAGGATAAAAAACAATATGAACGACTGAAGCAGGCGTCTCGAATGCCCACGAAGCTTCAGATCCAGAAACCCGAACCATAACAATAAATAAAGCGAGAGAGATCATTAGTGTAATGATTCTCTCTCTGTGTTCTCAGATCAGTTTCCCGAAAATGTGTTTATTAAATGCTTTCTTAGTTTAAACTTTCATCTGCATCATGAAAATTGTTATGATTAATTAATGCACTCTATTTTATGAGTGAACATCTTGAGACGCGCAGATCCTCACACATTTTCGTGCGACGAATGGTGAAAAAATAGGCCTTTCAAAATAAACAGAAATAAAGATTTTACTACAGAAAATTAAACGCAATTTTTAAAATATATATATGTTTCCGTAAATAGGTTATCGACTCTTCAGTATATCGTAATTTTACACTAATGAATAAAACAGATCCTAAACTGTAGTTCTGACGGACAAATATTCCGCCGTTCAAATAACCACAAAGAAACTTCACGCATCGTTATCTTCACCAACAATGGGAAACAGATTCCTTTCCCGAAAATAAAATTAAATATCGAATATCAGCCTATATGGCGAAAAATTAATGCATTTAACATGGCTATGCACACAGTAAATTAAACATGCTGCACGAGCAATGTTCTTTACAAATGTAAAAAAAAAGTATGGATAAAAATGAATGTCTTTTTGATTGATTCCCTGTCAGATACAATAATATTGAAGCGGGTCAAATGCATCTCTTGTATCGTGAAGATATTCGTTCTCATTCATACCTTTCCTACAGCAAACGTCACTGCAAAAGCCTCAGCAAAAACAAGCCTTCCCAATAAAAAAAATCCTAACAAAACAAATGAAAAACCTTCACAATGTGTTTAGTGATCAAAAAGAAGCGCGGGTTTCGTCCCAAGTGAAGCGGACGGGCAGGGTGTCCCGGGATGAGGATGGAAAATACCTTAATGCTGGTTATGAATACCCATTAATTAGGAAAAAAAACATAATCGTGAAAAATGAATAAGTAAAAGAAATAATAAATAAAAAATAATAACGCGAATATCAGCGTCTATAAAAACAATGAAGTATCACTAGCGACTGTCATATACATGCTGGGTCATTTGAGATGTTCACGGGAGCGACTGAAGTGATTAAGATTCGCGACTGAAGTGATGAAGATTCGCGACTGAAGTGATGAAGATTCGCGACTGAAGTGATTAAGATTCGCGACTGAAGTGATAAGATTCGCGACTGAAGTGATTAAGATTCGACTGATTAAGATTCGCGACTGAAGTGATTAAGATTCGCGACTGAAGATTATTCGCGACTGAAGTGATTAAGTCAGTCCCGTGTCTTAGATGCTGAACTTCTTTTGGCTATAATAACAGGACCATTTATTCACACCAATGAATGCGCACTATGGGAAATGGGGGAACGTAATCTTCTATTTATTTTGACAATTTATAATTTTCTTGAAGAAACTAAAGTATATGATTTTAATGATGTTATATTTTTCTCCACCTCTCATATAATAGATTTGAAGCAACATGCTGCACAAGGTAATTTTTTCATTCTGCTTAGGTATCCCTAAACATTAAAGCATACGTGTAATTGTCAGATTAGCTACTTCTCTCCTCCTATGTAGAATGGTCATTGTAAGAATTAGATTTTTAAATGATTGATATTGTCATTTTTATTATCATTATATATTTGCTTTTACAAATCTTTTATTGCACGCCGGCCATGTATGTAATCCTAATATATCAAACAGTATTACATAATCTATCAAAACCTTTTCTCATTAAGAAGCAAGATTATTTATGCGCCCAAATCGAAATCTTTCAGATCGCCATCAACTTCGCCGGCCCCTGCTTCGGCATCCTGTTCTCGGGGTTCCTCCTCGAGCTCGGGACGTCCTCGACCAACGTGGCCTGGATCTTCAACTTGAGGTCGTTCATCAGCAACATCTCGGCCTTGTTCCTCGACCCCCTGGTGGCCGAGTGGGGCTGGAGGAAGGTGGGCCTCGTCTCGAGTCTCCTGCTGTCCCTCGGCTTCGCTGTCTCGAGCTTCGCCAACTCGGCTCTCTATCTGCTGTGCTCTTACTCCATACTCACGGGTGCGATCATATTTCTTCCTTTTTTGCTTGTTCGTTGCAAGCAGAAAATACTCATGCTTGAGGATTGTTCACCAAGAGTTCATTCTTATTCTTAGAAGAGCTGTTAACTGTAACTGATGGGAAAATGTTCTATAGACTATCAGAAGTATCAGCGACAATGTTGGTTAAAAACAAAGGAAATATTGGTATCGTTCTAAAAGATAATGTAGTAATACCTTTATTAATAAGTCAGATAAGTCACATTCTATCAGCCGGTTTTTAAAAATTGTGCCAGGCCCGACCCAATGAATTTTCATAAATACAAATACAGAAATAAAGGCATATCTGTCTATATATCTGATAGATTTACATTTAACCCCGTTGCGGGTTGATATGCATGTCTAGACTGATAAATATGCATTTATCTCTTTATTTATGCATGTCAAGTATACGAATATTCTTTGGGTCGGACCTCGCACAATTGTAACAAACCGGCCGTATATCTTGAGAGCAATAGAGATATTTTACACAAGACCAACAGTAGTGATCGACATGGAGAATAACACAACCAACTCTCGCTGGCAATAAACAAAGCCAGTAAGAACCACATTTTACAATTTGCAGGTATTGGCTGCGGGTGGATGATGGGCACAATCTTCTCAATGATCCCACACTACTTCAAACGCAGGCTGGGCATCGCGAATGGCCTCATGCACGGAGGCATCTGCGTGGGGCAGATGGCGGGACCTCCAATGATCACTTATTTGCAAGAGCAATATGGCTTTTCCGGAAGCACTCTCATCATGGGAGCCATCTTGTTAAACGGTTGCGTCGGGGCGGCCGTCCTGCACCCCGTGGAGTGGCACATGAAGGCCAGAAACAAGGGAAAACCTGACGAAAGGAAGACGAAGAAGACGAGGAAGGCCCCCGACGCACAGACTCACCCGTGCACCACCGTTTCCCGCGTTTTCACCACGATATTCACCAACCTGAAACTCCTAAAGTCTCCCCGCGTGCTTATCATCACCGTGGCTTCTTCGCTGAACATGACGACGTACCTGAACTTCCTGATGTTCGCGCCCTTCGCCCTGCAGACGTCCGGCCTCAGCCTGGAGGAGACGTCGTGGTGCATGTCTGTGTCTGGCTTCTGCATGCTGGTGGCGCGCCTGGTCGTGTCCTCGCTGACGGACCTGCCAGGACTCAGCAAGCGCGGCTGCTACATGGCCGGCACCGCCACCGTCTTTGTGACTACGATTGGTAAGCCATTTGGAGAATGTACTAGATTACCGAGGTCTTTGAATACTTGGTGTCTGAGTATTTTGAAGATACAACCCCTTCGGCGCTTTGCAATAGGTGTTGTTCTGTAGATCTGTACACATGTATCTTTTCTTTATATAAATCTGTGCATGAAATCCTTCATATAATTCCAGAAACATATCCCGCCACTAATACTGATTTATAGCAATTAGAAGAAAAAGGCACAACAAGCATTAATTAACCTATTTTCCCCAGCCTTCACCTTCGTGCAGGGTCTGACTTGGGCGTCGGTCGTGATCGGCGTGTGGGCGGCGGGCGTGGGCGCCTTCATGAGCCTGCACAACCTCATCATGGTGGAGTATGTAGGCCTAGACAAACTCGTGCCGACGCTGGGCATCTGCGGGGTCTTCAGCGGCCTTTCCTCGGTGGTCATCGGGCCGGTGATAGGTAGGCCCTATGCGCGATGTTGTTTTTCTAGCGGTTGTGGGGTCAAAGGTTTCATTGTAATCATTATTGTGTTTCTTATTATTTATTTAGTCATTTATTCAATTATCCTATACAATTCTTCTGTTGTTGTTTTATTATTTACTTACTATTTATTCAATTATCTATTCAATTCTTCAGTGTCTACCTTATTTTTTTTTAAGGGTGTGATTTTTTTTTCGATTTTCCAAATACTTTGAATTGGACGTCAGAAATTCAATGCTCAATCAACATTAAGCTTTATATATCTGATCTTAGGTGTGATTTTCCAGCAAATGAATTCAAGGAATATTTTTTGTGGTGATGACCCTCTCATCGTCTTATTTAGTCTAATCAATGAAATTCGTCTCTATGTAAGGTCTCAACAAACTTTATTATAATAGAGAGAGAGAGAGAGACAGACAGACAGAGGGAGTGAAGAGTGAGTGAGTGAGTGAAGTGAGTGAGTGAGAGAGTGAGAGGAAGAGAGGGAGGGAGAGAGTGAGGGATGAGAGAGAGGGAGAGAGGAGAGAGAGAGAGAGGAGAGAGAGAGAGAAGCAGAGACGGAGAGAGAGTGAGAGAGAGAGGTTGATGATGTATTGTTTGATGATGTGAGATGAATACCAACATGACAGACATGTATCATGTGTGAGAGTGTAATTTGAGAGTGTGATTATATTTTTAAATTGGATTGAGTATTATTTTTTGTTGATTTCTAGGCGATAGGTGAGGTGTAGGTTGTGAGTGATAAGTATTGTGAAGTGTATGAGTGGAGAGTTGTATAGTGAGTATTGTGAGTAGTGATCATTGATGTGAGTTGATGTGAGTTCGTGAATGAGTGATTTTTGGTGTTGCGAGTTTGTGATTTTTATGTTATGTTGAAGTGTTATTTGTATGTGATGATGTAGATATTGTAGAGAGGATTGATGGAGGAATATGTGGATGATTTATTGTGAGTGAGTAGTGAGTTTATTGATTTTTTGAGATGTTATCGTATGTGATTATGATTAGATACGATATTGATGATTTTAGAGAGTGAATGATATGTATTATATTGTTTGAGCATTTATTTATTATGGAGTGTTGGTAAGTGTGTGAAGGGACGGTGGAGGGGGGGGAGGTGAGGGCAGGAGGTAGAGGAAGGGAGAGAGAGATTGAGAAGGGGGGAAAGAGGCAAGAAGGACTGACTGCCGAGGTAGAGAAACCACAATGCAGGGTGTGGTTGTAAGCCTCGTGTATATCTCGAGGCGAGAGCAGGGGAAGGAGAGCTGTGTAGCGAGGCGATAGTGCTTGCGTGGCTCGGTTGGCGGTGAGGTGTACTTTAAGAATGATGGGGCACATTATCACTGAGCAGTCTGCACCACTCACCTGTTAAGATGGATGGAAAGTCCGAAAATAGAAAGATTAAAAGAAGCAAAGCGTTTCCTGTCCCCGCCGCCGCGCCCGCCGCCCGGATTAAGAGAAGAGTCAACCAAGTGGCTGAGGCCTAGTCCATTCCTTCGTGACCAATGCGCGGAAATGCAGCCCAGAGTGACCGAAAGTGGAACTACAAGATCCGTTTCCAAGTAATCAATTGCGTTGTTAGCGAAAACTCGAGTATACGTATATAGATATCAGTAATTGATCAGTTCATCATTTACAGATATCTATTCATATCAGAATTACGTTATTTTGAATTAGGAAAGGTCACAGAATCCGAACTGACCTAGTTTTGGTGGCTGATCCCCGCCTCACCGGCACCGGCTTTCAGTCAGCCGCTGCGACAGTCTGTCCAGCTCTACGTTGTATATCTGTGCATTATTCGTGTGTGCGTTGAAGAATATTCCCTATAGTTTGTGTTCGTTTGTGTGTTTCTTTTTACCCGGACATGATTTTGGTCTTGGCTCGGGAACCAAATAATACCCTAGACTTTAAACATGCCTAACAAATACGGCTGGTTTTCCTTGTGCATTAAAAATGATCATAAACTATTCGCAAGTGTATAAAGCACTTCTTGACTGTATGTATTTTCATTATAAAATATATCTTGTTCAAAGTGTTTTCGCGCAGGAGTCCTCACGCAAGGTCTTCCTTGTCCTCACGAACCCTCTCCTTCGCAGGCGTGATCCGCGACGTGAGCCAGAGCTACGCCGTGAGCATGTGGGCGCTGTCCGGCTGCTTCGCCGTCGCTCTCCTGCTGTGGCTCCTCATGCCCCTCGCCGTGGCCTACGACCAGCGGAGGGAAGGGAAGCAGACGGAATCGCCCTCTTAAGTACAAGGAGTTGGGTCCTCTTCTGATGGGTCCTTTTTCACCGCAAATTCTCGGCTAATCACCATCTTTAAAGGAGTTGCGTGCAAATACTCCACTATTTTTTAGCCGGCAGACTTGAGTTTGCTCGAATATTAGGCGATTTATGTTTACGATTGCCGTCTGTAAGGCTGGTGTTAACGCTGTGGCTTCGTGGGAAGGAGGTCGTAGAGAGGGTCAGTATGCAAGACCCAAAATCCTGATGAGGAACTCAGTTTAATCCTTTTGATTGTTAAGACGTATTTCAAGTTATTAACATGTCATGTTTTATATTTTATTTAATTATCGTATCGACATGTATTCATTTGAATAAATATACTGAAACACCATACTTAGTGTTAATTGGACTGATGTGGATAATGGCAAACTCCTAAGACCAGGCAAATGACTTGTCAAAGAAGCGTTTTCAAAATAAAACAAATTACATGCGCGCTTTACAAAATACGCCAAACATAATTCTTTACGAGAGAGAGAAGAGAGAGAAGAGAGAAGAGAGAAGAAGAGAAAAGAGAGAAGATAGAAAAGAAAGAAAAGAGAGAGAGAGAGAGAGAGAGAGAGAGAGAGAGAGAGAGAGAGAGAGAGAGAGAGAGAGAGAGAGAGAGAGAAAGAGAGAGAGAAGAGAGAGGAGAGAGAGAGAGAGACTTTTTGACTTTGACAAAGTTATTGAGACAAAAGGTTACATCTCAAAAGGATGTGGTAACGTAGGTTATCCTCACCCTTGTCTTGATAAGTCCCTGTGTGGGCTCACAGTTCTCATACAAAAATTAGGTGTATTACCAGATAATAACATAAAATACAAAAAAAATATGAGAGTCATGGTCTATAAAAGAAAAAGTTCGTTGCACACACACTCACTGATGAGCTGTGAGGTACCGTAGGCGACCCGTGTGTGCAGCTGTTATTTGCGAAGGACAGGCACTCAGGTCATCTCCGGTCAGGTCAACTGTTCTTTGTCGTACATATTTTGTGAAATCCGCTGTCTGAAGTCTAGACAATAATGCTATAAGACTCACATTGCATTACCTTGCCTTTCCATTCTTCCAGCATATCATTAAGCTTTGCCAAGTTTTGTTCAATTTCCCATCGATCCAAGAGTTTTTCTTTTCGTGTGATCGTCGTACTCACACTTGCTGTTATTTTCTTTCCCTCCCTGTAATAACTATCTCACTTTCTGAATCCTGCTCTTTGCAGAAATACATGTTTGTTTCGTTTCTGTGTCTTTAGTCGGAGTTTTCTTTCGATGCCTCATCCCTCTCTTTCTGTTTTTTTCGTTTCTTCGCTGGGAACCTGGGCCAGTTTCCTTTCGATAGCGTCCATTCTCTGCATCAGCGTCTGGAACATCCTGGTAATTACGGATATTTCCTTAGAAAAATCCGCACCACTACTCCGCGGCACTTCCTTCACTTCCTGCAGCCTGTCTGTCCTGCCCGTCATCACAAGCCATTGGCGACGGCACCACCCGCGGTGGGCCCTGCGCCCAGGCATTAGGGACGACAGCTGTCTCCTCCTCGGCACTTCCGGCCGCGTGGTGACCGGCCTTTTTCCATTTTCTCCTTCACTTGGGGACCGCCGAAGCAATCTTGATTTGGTGGGGCCTCACCGCTGCATGCAGGAGACCGGCATTTGTGGCGGCCCTGGGCGCAGTTGCAAGCAGCAGAGGCGTAACCCTTTCCCCCTATTCAATCTTGCCGGCAGACTCTTGAGTCATGTGTTCTGCCACAGAACCTGCATCGAGCATCCTGTTGACAGGCCCACGACTTGTGTCCCCACCTGCAGCACTTGAGGCACATGACTGGCGCTCCACAGACGGGTGCCGACCCTATCCTGTACCCCGCTCCAGAGATGGATACCTTTCTGGCACTTCCCCCTTCACAAGGGCAACGAGCTGACTCCGCTCTCTCGCCCCTGGACGTATGCCGCCTTAGCCACGGGCACAAATCTATCGTCGTCCAGCAAAGTCCGGGTCTAAGGATAGTCCGTGGATATCGGAAAATGATAAGTGACTTTTCTCCAGCCTTTGGGAGCAGTCATCACTGGGTCCCCTTGTTCCCTGAGTCGGTCAGCGTTGCACCGAGCCGTGGCCGGCCCGGGCACCGGAGTGAGATACGGCAGGCCTTACCGTTTCCATTTCCTCTTCACTGGCTCGAAATCAAGCGTGGTGCTTTAGCTGCATGTTGCATGGCCGCACGCTTAATTTTTCTAAGAAAACTCAAAGCACAGTCCTGTGAATGATAGCAGTCTTTTCCTGCCGTTCACACGGCAACTTCGGGCTGCTGCTTCGTTTCGGCGTCGTTCACTTTCCTCTTCTCCCGCTCACGCATCCATTGCCCGTCACTCAATGTCTACGCTTCCATCACGTTCTTACGCCTCTTATGGGGTTCCACTTCCACTAGCAACACTAGCCATGCTGATACCTTGGTAGGAGGTGACCCTCCGGTCCAAGGTCAGATAGGGCGGATAAACACAGGGATTCGGGGGGGAAGACCTCACGTCTATGGACAGTACTGTAAACTCGTTAACGAGAGATACGAGAGATACACCGAGACGAGAAGAGAGAGAGAGAGAGAGAGAGAGAGAGAGAGAGAGAGGAGGGAGAGAGAGAGAGGAGAGAGAGAGATGGAGAGAGAGAGAGAGAGAGAGATGAGAGAGAGAGAGCAGAAGAGAGAGAGAGAGGAGACAGAGAGAGAGAGAGAGAGAGAGAGAGAGAGAGAGAGAGAGAGAGAGAGAGAGAGAAGAGAGAGAGAGAGAGAATTAATCGTTTTCTTTAAGGAACGCTTTCTTCGGAGCTGTAACTCACCTGTTTTTAAAGTATATATATTTTTTTCTAAAGAATATCCATTTTCAAATGATTTCAACTGAGCCAATAGGAGAGCCTAAGCGATCATATTCGTAATGGCTGACAATGCAAAACCAGAATTTGCACAGACTTTCCCCTCTAATAAGAATGCATGTTTCTCGCGTTACCTTGCTCATCCATTAATTTTTAATTTAAATTATTCATGTAACATTCTGCTATCAGTGAGGGCCATCAAGCGCTAATCAGCAACATACTGATTTATCAACAGCTATTTACACAACACACGCGAAAATTACAACATTAGAGATAATGTTTTCACCATTGGGAACGCGGTTAATCATCCCAACCCTCTCGTTGTATACCTAATAAATACGTAGAAATCGTAATAATATCTCTGTAACGACGTATCAATCATCCAAATTTGTTTAAAAATGATAAAAAACAAATCGCGTTTCGAATCACACATTTTGGCTCTTGATACTGGCGCCACAACCGAGTGTTATTTTAGGCTCGGCAGCCGAGTTGCCTTTCAAGCAAAGTCAAATTGTGCCGAACCGAATGAAACTCTTTACATGCCCTTGGATAAAACTGTGAGAAAGGGTAACGATTCTTCGCAAATACATGAAAATGAATTATATATTGGGTTTTTCTACCGTGATGACATTTCTAGTGAAAAAGTGCGTTTCTTGAGATGATTATTTAGCTAAGAAGGTGTTTCTGCTGTTCAAGTAATATTCGGAATGGTGTGAAGTAACACTGCAAAAGGAAAACGTAGAAATTAATAAATCTGAATCGATGAAATACGGCCATGAGTGTATTTGGTGATGGATGCAAGGACATGCAAGTTGGATTTTATCTGTTCGCGGTATATACTAATGTTGTATTTGATCTTATAACAAAGAAACAATACATTCGTAACGAAGCGGCAATTATGCGTTGCGTAATAACAGGCTTAAAACACGCACACACAAATTACAATCTTATCCCGTAAATCTCTAAGAAAGACACTCGATTTCAATAGATATAAACAAACAAACCCTCGTTTCACCAAAATGAAGGTCTGCGTATATCATACTGCCAACATTTATAATTCAGTTTCAATATTCTATAAGAAATGAAACTTAAGTATATCTTTAGTAGTTACCCCCTCTAAGACAATCAAAGAAAACCCTCACCTCCGATGCTATGGCTTGTCGCCAACTCAGGACGATGAATGGCTGTTTCTAAGTGCTGGGTAATTCTCTATCGTAATTCCATAAATTGATATATTGATATGTTTCTTGTCGTTTCAATACGAAAATTCACATATTTACTCTTAATTTTCTTTACATTTAAAATACAAACGAGGAATGGTTGTAATGAGAGATTAAAAGGTAAACGTTTCTTTTTCATTTACTATTTAAGGCCAAGCAATACATAGTGACAAGGCATTCAGGAATTCTTAAAAAAGGAAAAAAAAGAAATAAAAACAAATAAAAATACATAACTGGCACAAACGAGAAGACAGTGTTGCCATCTTCTGTTCCATTAGTCATCAGAACTTGGTTCATTTACACAACTCTCAAAAGCGAGAATAACCTCTTCCTCTTGTTCTGTAGCCTTAAATATTCGCAGGAAATAATCACTTATCTCAGAACTATTTATAGAGGAACAATATCAATTAAGATGCACTCCTTATCGCCGTCGATTGCATAAGACTTCGCTTATCAAATAATTTCAGATCCGAGATGCTCGTTGGTTCAAGACGCGGCGGCCGGGCGAGCAGGTCCTGTGTTCCTCGCCTCTCCTGACTACACACTCATCCTCAGCGTGGTTCGGAGGAGGAGTTCCTTGAGAGGAGAACTTTAAGGTTATTGTGGCTTACGCGCTGAAGGTGCCGGAGATACAGTAGGTGGAGTGATTGGCAGGGATTGCGGGCTAGAAATGGGATTCGTGTTTCTCGTGTGTGAATTCGCAATGGAAAGTTTTGAAAATAACGATGCTTGGTAAGGATTTATATGGCTAGCGAATCTGCTATACAGGTAGAAAAATAATTGCACTCACATTCGCAAAGAGAAGAGCAGTAAGGGATGGAAAAATAAGAAAATACGAATAAAAGAAGAAAGAGTGAAAGTTGTGAAAGTGGAGAAAGAGAAGATAAGGAGAGCAATTAGATCATTTCCCCCAGCAATAAGAGCAGCCATGCCTTCTAATTCCCAAGCGAGGGCGGGGAGACAGAGCGAGAGTTCACCGAAGGACAACGACGCCTGTTGCGACCCTCTCCTCGGCTCCGACGGCGCGCCAATCATCCACTTAAAAAGCGCAGAGACACCGAGAGAAAAGGAGAAAGAAGAAGAAAGCAGCACGCAGGGAGACGAAGACGAGAATGAACAAGGGCAAGATGAGGACGACGACTTTCCTGACGGAGGCTGGGGCTGGGTCGTGACCTTCGGCTGTTGCATCATCGCGGTGAGTCGAGGGCGTCCGTGGCTGGCCTGGGCTGGGCGCTGATGAACCTCTTCCTCAGGCTTGGAATCTGGGCGAAACAGGGCAGGGCTTCTTGCCATGCCCTATATATATATATATATATATTATATATATATATATATATATATATATATATATATGTATATATATATATATACATATATATATATATATATGTTATATATGTATATATATATATATATAATATATATTATACATATATATATATATGTATATATATATATGTATATATAATATATATATATATGTATATATTATATATATATATATATATATATAATATATATATCTGAATAAATAAATAAATAAAATAAATAAATATATAATATTAAATATATATATATATATATATATATATATTATATATAATATAATTATATATATATATATATAATGTATATATATATATTATATATATATATATATATATATATATATATATATATGTATATATATATATATTATATATATATATATATATATATATATGTTATATATATATATATATATATATATATATATATATATATATATATATATATATATATATATATATATATATATATATATATATATATATATATGTATATATATATTATATATATTATATATAATATATATATATATATATATATATATATATATATATATATATTATATATATATATATATATTATGTATATGTATATACATATATTAATAAAAATATAATATATATATACACACACATTAACCAAAAGGAATGCTGAATAATATATGCAGAATATTCTCATATTCTGCACATAGTATGATAGCATTTTTGTAGGACTGTCGTAACGACAATTATTGATATTAATCTGAACACGACAAAAATATTGCAACTTTGCTCTATATCATTGTTTTCACTTGCATGGATTGCAATCAGATGTTTTAGCCGCGAGTTGACGGAGGAGAGGACTCGTGGAGGCTGGCTTCCTTGCGTTGCAGTTTTCTTTTTTATTCTTGGTTAATAAACTTTTCTTATTTGTTGACTTTATTTCTCTCTCTCTCTCTCTCCTTCTCTTTCTCTCTCTCCCTCTCTCTTTCCCTTTCCCACTCCCCCCTCTCTCTCTCTCTCTCCCTCTTTCTCTTCCTCTCTCTTTCCCTTTCCCTTTCCTACTCCCTCTCCTTCTCTCTCTCTCTCCCTCTCCTTCTTTCTCTCTCTCTCCCTCTCCTTCTCTCTCTCTCATACCCTTTTTACACACTAAACAGCATTTCGATTTTCCTATTTATCCGCAGTGAAGTATGTTTACAATGTTATACAAAATGTGAATATCTAAAAACATTTAATACCTTGTAGTTTTACTTTTGAAGATGTGAAGATGTCATATATACAAATGAATAAGTAACCCTGTCAATTTAACTTATTATTTATGGCAATAACGTAAAGGCATTTGAGAATGACAGTTCTTGAATCTTGGAATACACAATAATAATAATAATAATAATAATGATAATGATAATAACAACAGCACTAATGACAAAAATGATGTTAACAATAATGATAATGATGTTAACAATAATAATAATGATAATTAGAGAAAACAATAAACAGACACTTACATATAAATGATGAGACACGCTCCTCCCTGACCGGGCCGTCCTTCTCCGGCAGGCCCTGGTGAACACGGTGGGGCCCTGCTTCGGGATCCTCTTCTCGCGCTTCCTGAAGGACCTCGGCACGTCCTCCGTCAACGTCGCCTGGATCTACAACGCCAGGGCCTTCACCCTGAGCCTCACGCAGCTCCTCCTGGGGCCTCTGGTGCTCGAGCTCGGCTGGCGGAGGCTGGCCTTCTGCGCCGGCCTCCTCGTCGCCTTCGGCTTGGGCGCCTCCGCCTTCGCCGTCTCCGCCGTGTACCTGCTCTTCTCCTATTCGCTGATGACAGGTGAGGCCCAGGTCACGTGGGCGGGCGGGCGGGTGGACCATGGGTAGGGCGGGGGTGGACCATTGGTGGGTGGGTAATGTGGGTGAATGGACCATGGGTGGGTGGGTGGACGTGTGGGTAGGGTGGGTGAATGGACCATTGGTAGGTGGGTGGACGGGTGGGTAGGGTGGGTGGTGGACCATAGGTGGGTGGACGGGTGGGTATTGGTGGGTAGGTGGACGGGTAGGTGAGGGAGAAGGGGAGGGGGCAGTGGGGTAGGGGAAGAAGGACGGGTGAGGGGTACGGGACGGTGGTAGAGTGGATGGGTGGGTGAAGGGGGGGGGGAGTGGGTAGGAGAAGAAGGAAGGGGAGGGGGGGGTGGGTGAGGGGAAAGGGTGAATAGGGGCAGGATGGGAGGTCTTAGGGTGGTGAGGGGCGTGATGGGGAGTAGGATGGGCGAGGGAGGGTAGGGAAGGGACGCTGGTTAAGGTAGAGGAGAGTGCGGTGGGAAGCAAGTGGGGAGAGGGAAGAAGGGTGGATGAGGGAGGGGGTGACGAGAGCGGTTGGGTTAGGGTAGTACGGGGGGTCTGGAGGGTCGGGGGGGGGGAGGAGGAGGGGCGGGCAGGGGGCTAGATGGAGGGGCTGGGTAAAGTTGAAGGTTGGAGCTCGGGAAAGAAGGGGGTTTAAGGGCGGGTACACGCAATGAAGGTAGGGGTAAAGTGGACAGTGGGAGAGGGAAGGCATGGTGGGGTGGTGGGGGGTTGGGGAGATGTTAAAGTAGAGGCGGAGGGAAAATGGATGAAATAGAAAGGAGGGATCGGTGGGTAAATGTGGGAGGGAGGGGTCATTGGGGGTGTGGAGAGGGGGAGTAGTGGGGGGTGGTGGATTGGACAGGGTGGGGGGCCTAGGTCAGGTCGGGGGTTGGGGAGCTGGGAGAGGGCTGGGAGAAGGGTGGGGGTGGGGGTAAGCAGGGGGGTTGGTGGATGCGATGGAGGGGGTTGGCTAAGGTGTGGGGAGGGTGGGGAGGTAATGAGACACAAGGGGGGGGGCGTATTATTCTATAGTGTATTACTATTGGTTTAGGAACGACGATAGGGAAGGAATCTGATGATGATGGCAATGACGAGAAGGATAATGAGGGCGAGGATGACGGCCATTTTAATGAGATTAATAGGATTCCGATTAAAAGATCATGATTTTGAAGATGACAAGGATGATACGATGCTGCTAATGAACATGACAGTGATGGCATTGATGATGGAGAGGATATGTTGATCGCTAATAATGATCAGATATAATACTTACGCAATGCTGAGTGGACAAAGATCAGAATTTATAAATACTTACGCAATGCTGAGTGGACAAAGATCAGGAATTTATAATACTTACGCCATGCTGAGTGGATAGACCTAGTTGTTTGGTGAGGTACGTCGACGCTGATAAGAAAGTTGGCAAACAATGTCATAAAATATAGTGATAAGAATGGAGTACTATGGATTAACTCTCAATTTATCATCCACTGTATCATCCACTCTTTTCTATTAAGAGTAGAAGACGCACTCGGGAGATTGTTGATATTTGGTTGATAAGAAACTAGTCTAAAAAACATCGTTGTATTAAAAAAAAAAAAAAAAAAAAAAAAAAAAAAAAAAAAAAAAAAAAAAAAAAAACATGATGGTTATCAAAATCATTATCATCACTAACCCGGTAATAATTGACAGACATCACTGCACCTAAAATAAGTCATAAGCAAGATGACAGACAAATTATTATCATTACTAACTTGTCAGCTTAGCTTCAACCACCGCCCTTTTCTTTATTTATCTCTTTTCTTCCCTCTCTCCCATCTCCTTTCTTCCTTTTCTTTATTTATCTCTCTCCTTCTTTCTCACTCTCTCATCTGCCACGCGTATCTGTGCCTATACACTATATGTCAGCCAAATATAGCGGTGTAGCCAGAATATATAGAGCGGTGTCAGTCAGCCAAATATAGCGGTGTCAGCCAAATATAGCGGTGTCAGCCAAATATAGCGGTGTCAGCCAAATATAGCGGTGTCAGCCAAATATAGCGGTGTCAGCCAAATATAGCGGTGTCAGCCAAATATAGCGGTGTCAGCCAAATATAGCGGTGTCAGCCAAATATTGCAGTCTTTAGAAACATTTAGAAAGCCGCGATCAGATAAGCCAGTCTGTCACGTGACCCATTGCAAAGTATGTGAGATAATGATTATGATATTGACAATGATAATAATAATAAAGATAACAGCAACAATTATAATGATAATGACGATAATGATTATGATTTTGTTAATGATAATGATAATGATAATGATAATGGTAATAATGATAATAATAATAATAATAATAATAATAATAATAATAATAATAATAATAATAATAATAATAATGATAATAATAATAATAATAATGATAATGATAATAACAATAATATTATTGATAATGATAATTATTATAATAAAAATGATAGTAGTTATAATAGTATTATTAGTAATAACAATGATTGTAATATTGATAATGATAATAATAATGATAGTAATGATTATAATGAATATTGATAATAATAATATAATGATAATATAATAATAATAACAACAACACTAATAACAATAATGATGTTAACAATAATGATAATGATGTTAACAATAATGATAATGATGTAAATAATAATGATGATGTTAACAACAATAATAATGATAATTAGAGAAAACAATGATAATGCTAATGATAAAAACAGTGATCGCAATGAATAGCAATGGTGATATTAATAAGGGTAATTATAATGGAAAAAAAAGGATAGCTGAGCATAAAACCGAATGAAGAATAGAATAAATGTCATTCGAAATAACAAATTAAGAATATATCAGTTTCCAGCTTTAATTATAATGAAATTTAGATGAAAGATATTGATCCCAAGTAAAGGCCAGCACTTTTTTTTTTTAATCATTTTAGTAGCTCCCATTTTCTTTGGAATCATAGAAATATATCTTACGAAAAGTTAGATCGACCAGAAAATCTACTTTACGTCTAGGTTGTCGGTTCCAGGACTGAGATACGCGGTCAGTTAGTGGAGATAACGTTGGAGATATGAGTGATACAGAAATGTTCGCTTGGTAGCGACACTGATCTTGGAAATATGAATTTATCTGTTCCTCAAGCTTCTATGAGTCTGTCTGCATATTTATATCACACACACACGCACGCACGCACACACACACACACGCACACACACGCACGCACGCACGCACGCACGCACGCACACACACACACACACACACACACACACACACACACACACACACACACACACACATCTATTTATATATATAAACATAAAACGTACACCCTTTTAAGAAAGCTGAAACAGAAACAAGGCGAACAGAAAATGATAAGGCATGATTTTAATTCGATGTAATTTGATCAGAACCTGCCTGCCACAATAGGAAAAGAAAAAGAAATATTTCCTGTTTGGTTTCGGTTTACTGAGTCCCTGTGGTCGCCGCGGAACTATGGAGCAGTACCGTCTGTGTACCGTTTTTTTTTTTTTTTGTATCTTTGGACTCACTGTGTCTGATTTTTGTCCGTGCGTTGTTACTGTGTGCGTGTGCGTGTGTGTTTTTTCTCTCTCTGTTTCTGTCTCTCTTTCTCTTTCTTGCCGCTCTTTCCTGCATGTCTCTCTTGCTCTGTCTGCCTGTCTGTCTCGCCTCTCTCTCTGTCTCTTGTCTTTGTCTCTCTCTCTTTCTCTCTATCTCCATCTATTTATCTTTCTCTTTCGCAAACGACTCCCACTACTTTACTCGCCACTGAAGGATTAATCAGGAATAAAGTAAATTCTCTTGTGCCGAATTACGGAAGGATGAACCGTATTCCTGTTGACAAATGTAGACAAGTATGAATGAGAACGAATATCTTCACAATACAAGAGATGTATTTGACCGGTTTCGATTATATCTTCGTCAGAAATCCATGTATTTCTACCTGTTTCGATTATATCTTCGATCATATCTTCATCAGAAATGCATGTATTTCTGACGAAGATATGATCGAAACCGGTTAAATACATCTCTTGTATTGTGAAGATATTCGTTCTCATTCATACCTTTTCGCATTTACAGAAGGATTTTAGAGAAACGGAAAAGTTCCCTGTGATGGAGTGGCTTCTGGTTGTTATTTCAGGCACAGTTTCAGTCAATATTTTCTTTTCCATGATTTCCCTTGAATATTTTGTAACGGATGTGAAAATTCATAAATCCTTTTTGTGATTTTGCAAATTTTTAAATGTTTGGTAAGGAAATAGTTAAGGGTTTTGCATACACTTGCTTTACCTTAGTTTATAATTGCTGCCGTTTATGGTGATGTAATGATAATGGCAATGATATTCACAATAATTGTATTAGTAGCAATAAGATTAATTAAGACAAAACCTTTATGATCATTATTCCTATTGTTCTGATTAATTTATGGAAT